ATAGGTAAATAAATACAATAAAAAAAAAAAATAGTACCTGACAAAATTTCTTAAGTGAAAACAGAGGTGTAAAATACAGATTCCAGTAAGTCAAACTTATGCATGGCTTTTTAACATCTGAAATCATCTTCTAAATGGTGGTTTTATTTTAAATGGTGGTGGGGACGTGATAGATGTTCCAGGAGACTGGTGCTGTGATGTCACACTAAATAAAATTCAGTACATTTTCTATCTGCTGACATAACTGGAAAATTAATTTCTGCTTCCAAAGCAAGGACCTCACATTCAGTGACCCCTACTGAATATCGTGTGTGGGGGGCGCACTAAAATTAACGGCTGCTATCCCTCCTCTTTCATCTCAGATGCTTCTTTCTTCCCTCTCTTATTATCTATCTCTCGTGCATGTGTTTCTCTTTTGCTTATGTCACTGCCAGATGGAATTGGTAGATTCCAATCAATGTTCTTCTTTGACTAATTACTCTGACAAAGGTGGTGAGGATCCAGATGAATAGATGCCTGCTGAGCATGCCTGGCAGCACACACGCAGACGCTGTATCAAGAAACATGCCAAATATATCTTCCTAAGCAGCTAGAAATCTGCAGTATAATGATTCTCTATTAAACACTTACCAAGAGATGATCTGGTATGATGGCTTTGGATTTAGGCCACTATTAAGGCCTAATATGCTCACTGCAAAATAATTTTTGTTCTTCGTTTGAGGGTGAAAAGACGCTCCAAATGGCTGAACAATGATATACTGTTTGCATTTATTCCGATGCCACCCACACTGCATACCCCAATGCTGGTATATAGATGAATATATAGAATATTTAAATATGTGCCGTGCGCTATCCTCTTAATAACATAACAAATCCACAACAAACAATGACAGCTGTGACAAAAGAGCAGTTAAGAAAGCATCTGAACACAGAGATGTGGATATGTTTATGCCAGATCTGCATTTCGAAGGATGTTTAGGATAACGAGGGACAAGACGAGACACACCTGACATCAATGAACAATCAACGTGAGGGAAAAACTTGGTCACGGAGCACATGGGGAGGGAAAACACAACAAAGATAGTCCAGGGGCGTGACATTACTCACCCCTCCCGGAAGGAGCGTCCCGCGCCATAACAACAACAGAAGGAGGGATGGGTGGGAACTTGGGAGGAGGCTCAAGAAAGGGACGGACACCCGGGAGGGGGCTGGCAGACAGAGACCAGGGAGGTGATGAAGGAGGGAGGAGCCAGGGAGGAGACAGGAGTGACTTGGAGCAGGCATTGCCAGGTGGGACCCAGGGCACAGCCGAAACATCGACCCACGGTGGAGCCGACGGAGGGAGGAGCCATGGTGGAGGAAGGGCTGACAACTCCAGGGGGCCGACCAATGGCGGCGGAGCAGGTGGCAGAGGAGCCCGAGGTGGAGACGGAGAGCCGATGGGCCAAGGCGACACCGAGGATACAGAGGGCCAAGGCGGAACACATGGCTCAGGCGACCAATATGGAGGCGGAGATCCAGAAGGCCGCAGTGGAGCCATAGCGACAGAGGACCAAGAAGGAGCCGAAGGGAAGGAGGAGCCTGACAGAGCCAGAGGGATGGAGGGATGAGGCGCAGCCGGAGGAGTGGAGTCCCGAGGTGACGGATGGTCAACGACAGACCAAGGCCGAGCCAGAGGACCGAGGGAGCCCGGTGGAGCCAGTGGACTGATTGGCTGGATTCAGAGGCTGGAGGCGGAGACAGGGAATCCTCCAGCCACGGTGACGATGGAGGATGGCAGACCCGCGGAGCTCCCACCATACAGATGGAGGGCTGAGGGTCTCTCTGGCGATGGCTCGCCGGTCGCGGGGAGATGGTGGGCGGGGCTCTGGGTCTGGCTGTATTCTGGATGGGAGATAGACGCTCTCCAGACATCGGATGATAGCTTCTCTCCAGCTTAGTCCGGTGGTCTCTGGGAGCTCGATGGGGCGGTGGTAATTAGCCCCCGATCCAGAACAGTGAGTTCAGCGCAGTCGTCAAACGTCGTTAAAACGGTGAGCTGGCTGAACTCAACCGCATACTCCAACAGGGAAAGGTCCTTGCGGGCTAGGGCGGTTAACTTGGCAGCGAGGGGATCCATGGGGAACACGGGGAAAACAGAAAACAAACACTGTAAAAAACACAGAAAACAAACGAAGGGGAAGATGCAAATAAACTATTTTGAAGGTCGGTCACACTATGCTGTCGAAAGGAACGATGGAGACACGAAGTGGCATTAACGGTCTTTAATCATAGAAACACTGAGGACAATCCACATCAGGAACTGGAGCAAACACACGTAGACAACAAAGTAGACCCGACAAACACAGACTGAACAGACTGGGGCTAAATACACAGGACAACGAGGGATAAGACGAGGCACACCTGACATCAATGAACAAACTACGTGAGGGAGAAACTGAGTCACGGAGCACATGGGGAGGGAAAACACAACAAAGATAGTCCAGGGGTGTGACAGTTATATTATAATTACAAAATTATAATTACAACTTAAATTGCAACGAGTAGCTCTCCAGTGTGTTCTTGTTTTAATTGGTGTCTCATGAGAGCCGATGCGAATGCAGCATTAAAGAAGGGGTGTCTGAAGTAACGAAAGGGGTATCTTCACAAAGTATCTTCAGGTACACATTAAATGGCCCACATATTTGTCAGGAGCAAACAAACCTGTCTTTACTACAGATATGGAACTAAAATCTACCAATCAACCTACAGAGGGCAGAGTATTGAATAATATTACTTATTACACGGCTCTGTGGAATGCTTGATTCTGATTGGTCAGTCGCAACATTCCGAGGTATGTTATACCTCGATAACAACCGGTAAAAGCTGATAACAAATAACTGATAACAATAAGCTGAATGTTTTGTACGCTGTAATGGATTATAAGATAACTAACAAACTGGTAAGATTTTAAGACATTTATGTCTTAAATCAATATATTTTATCGCCATAATTATTTATGTGGTGAAATGTTTTGTAATAAGTGTATGACTGCACTGTATCCCTTAAATGTCCGTCTAGTTTGAACTTGTCGCTTGCATGCAACTGCTGTCTTCACGGAAGCTTTGCATTCAAATATTTCAACTCAAATCAATATTTTCAGTCTAATTATTTACTTATGTGGCAAGTAGCCGTGTAATAACCTCTGCTTCGCATCGGGGTCCTGATCACCCTGTCGGGGGTTATTCTGTGATAACAATGGGCTTGATGTACATTATCCCAGACTTACTAAAGGAAAATTGCCTAGGCCAACATATTTGAAAATTTGCCTCTACATCCATTACATAAACACGCTTTAGAGCACCAAAAGTTTTAGATACACAATTACAGCTAAATACAGACAGGTTACCATGATACCACCACTACTTTACTATAAAACACATATTTTACTAACATAACGCTTATTTTGTCCAGAACAGATGCATAATATTATGGTAAGTTAGAACAGCCAGAACTGCAACCAGTGACAAAACAATAAAGCGAAATAATCAACTAATTACAACCAATTATCTAGCCCTCTAATATGGGGGGAAAATAACAAAAATATTGATATAGTAACCTAATATTAAAGGCAGGGTAGGTGATTTGGTTCAAAAACATTTTTTGTTATGCTGGTTAAAAGTCTCTTCACATCCCGATACCAATCACTAAGTTAAGTGGTCTAAATGTATTTCTATGTATTTATATTGTCTATGGAAGGTGTAGGACTATAAAATGTTCGTCCAATCATATTCCTCGGTCCGAGGGCTACGATAGGCTGTCCTACCTGCCTGTCAACATATGTATTTGCAAACCTCTGCGCACCCTGTTCACGTAGACATGATACGTCATCAGCACGTTCCATTACGCTATTGCAGACCGAGCGAGAATGGAAGGTGTTATTATTGTAATATTATGCACTTTGTACTGTAATGTTTTCTTACCGGTGAATGAGAAATGAGGTAATCTGACAGCGTTGCATTTAACCCTCCACCAACGCTGTCTCTCATCGTGTCTCTGGTCTGCCTGTGTGTGTTCATGTGTTTTGGAGGAGGCATGGCTTTGAAGAGTGATTTGCAGCGAGGGTGGGATCTTATGCTTTCAAAGCTAGCTTGCTATTGCTAGCCTCTCTCAAATCACCTTTCCTACATTTAATGCTAGAAAGCCAATGCAGTTGAGATTATTATTTATCTATTTTTTTTTTTAATCATTAAAATCCCTTTTCACAATCATATTGATTGAGGGGGCAGGACAGCCCGGTTGAGGGAGTGACGCCCAATCACACCCCTCTGTGGCTCTGGCCCTGTGTCTCAAACCAAAGGGCTGAACAAAATATTATTTGGCCAACACCAAATGAACCTCACAATTGCAAGATTTTGTTCGAAATGACATCACACCAGTTCGTTCTTCTGTTTTGCTTGAAGTATATCAGACCCTTTATGAACACACACTTGAGACACACTTGGAATGGGTGGAGAAAGATGTATGTCATGGCAGGGGTAATTTTTTATGATTTAATGCTGTACTTAATTTTTAGAAGACCACTATCTCTGGCTCTTAATTGCAAGCTCAAAATCCCTTTTTGGCCAAAATCTCTGTCTGTACGTACCTTCACAATTCTGACATGTACGAGTGAGCTAATGAGCAGTGAAAACTAACTGGCATCACTACAACGCAATCTAGGCTAAACACGTCTCGGAATCCCTCAGGTTCTTCCAGTGTGAGTTTCTTTCCAGGTTTATTGAGTCACACTTGTAACCAAGCCCGCTCCACCACCGAAAATCCAATTCATGGCAGTTTGTGTCAGCGATTTACAGCCAGCTACGGTTGGCACCAATGACATTTTGCAGATCGTAAAAGCCCTTGCACAGTAATACAACCTTATTAATGAATGTATTAGCTGCAATGCATCCCTAGAGCCTGCAACATGGGGAACAGAGAAAAGGTAGAGAGTGCGGCTAGGTGGGGATGAGTCATCCTACCTGGTTTGCAAGCTGGGGTCGAAAAGCATGAGGAAGATCCACACGCAGGGGATGCATGCTGCGTGCTTGCGGAGAATGCCAGCCATATCACTCTGAGTTCTGAAAGCCTGCAGAAAGAAGAGGGAAAGGAGGGTGAGAACAAGCAAAATAGTGAAGTGGAGAACTTTAAGAATATGGCATACAGGCTCTGTTTCTTGTGCTAATTCTGAGGGTCAAATATGAATGGTGCTACTCTGCTGCCTGCCATTGATGTGGACAGGTAATCTGTCGATTTGAAAATGAAATATCAATATAAATGTGCATAGGAATGAATGGTACCAATTATTAGCAATTCAGTACAAATACTGATAATTTTAGTAAAGCTTGCAAGTGCATACACAACGAATATAAGACATCTACATAAGCCATCTTCAGCATTTAATAATCGGTTCCTTCATGAGCTGGAATTTAAATTGACCGTGCCCCACAGGAAGTTGAAATGGAAGATAAATTAAATTGCAGGAAGTAGAATTTAATTGATTATAGTTCAGAGAAATTTAACAGGTAAGAGTATTTTGAGAACCTTGTTCCATAAAATGAAAGTTAACCTAATAACAGATTAAAAAGAATATAAATTAAGTACCAATTTCTACAGTGTGGCATTTCTAATAGATTCTTTTGTCTGTCTGTCTGTCTGTCTGTCTGTAAGGCCTATAAAACTTGTAGCACAGGCACTGTCAAGCAATCATTCCAAGTCTGAAAATGTTTATTTTCTAGGTAAAAATTCTGCATTTGTACAGTGTGGCATTTCTAACAGATTCTTTTGTCTGTCTGTAAGGCCTAAAAAACATTGTAGCACAGGCACTGTCAAGCCATCATTCTATGTCTGAAAACGTTTCTTTTCTAGGTAAAAATTCTGTATACTGTCTGGCGTCTTCAAATTCAAATTCAGAAACTACATTTGAATCGCTAAAACATTCCTGAAATATAAGGTATTTATAGCATAAGAAGGCATTTTTAAGTTAAAATATTGATTTAATAATTGGACAAACTATAATTACAATACAGAATATAAAAATAGTACATAAAAATTAGTTAATATTTTGCATATATATATATATATATATATATA